TAAAAGTTAATAAAAATGAACGCAAAATATGGGGTGAAGCTAAAGCAGCACGGAAAGGGGAGTGTGAAGCAGTGAAGGGTTACCTCAGAAATGAGGAAAGGCCTCAGAACAACAACCTTAGATCATACCTCAAGGAACTGGAAACAGTAGAACAAAATAGACCTAATGGAAGCAGAGGAAATAAATAATAACGATGAAAACAGAAATTAATGAAAATGAAAACAGGAAAACAATAGAGAATATTGTGAAATAAATACCAACTTCTTGGAAAAAAGGCAATGAAACCAATAAAACTTTAGCAAGTATCCACATGCAGAAGATTGACTTTGGACCCATGGGTGTCACTATGTATATCAAAATGGACCAGAGATCTAAATGCTAAACCAGACACACTTACCATCCTGGAAGCCAAATAGGTAAAATTCTTGAAGTCATAGCATAGGCAAGGTCTTTCTGAACAGAACTCCAGTTGCACAGGAAATAGTTCTAAGAATCAACAATTCATAGCAAATTAAAAAGCTTCTGCACAACAAAAGAAATAACCAACAGAGTGAAAGGACAATCTGCAGGATAGGAAAAAAACTTGCCAGCAATTCCTCAGAGAACTCATCTAAAATATAAAGAGAACTCAAAAAATTAAGTCCTAAAAGATTTAATTAAAAAATGGGCAACTGAAATGATTAGACACTTCACAGAAGTAGTACAAATGACCAGTAAATATATGAAGAAATGCTCAACATCACTAGAAATCCAGATACCATCTTACACCAGAAAGAATGAATGACCATCATCAAGAAATCAAACAGAACAGGGCTGAGGATTTAGCTCAGCTGCAAAGCACTTGCCTGGCAAGCGCAAGGTTGTAAGTTTGATTCCTGGCACCTGAAGAAAACCAAAAAAAAAAAAAAACCAGAGATTTTTTACAACTATTGATAATCTCCTACCTCTTTTGTCTGTAACTCACTATTATTTGTCTATTTGTTTTCCTGAGAAACTATCTTGTAGATAACAATATGTAAAACAATAACCATTGATAATTTCCTACCACTCTGTCTATAATTTGGTAAGCCCCCCTATTATTGTTATCCTTCTTTTACTCTTTAAAAAAAAAAGAAAGAAAGAAAGAAATCAAACAGAACAAATGCTAGAGAGGCCATGGGGAAAAAGTAACCCTTCTACAGTGTTGGTGGGAATGTAAACTAGTATGTAAACTCTGGGTATCAGTATGGAGATACCTCAAAAAACTAAACCTAGAAATTCCATTCAAACCAGCCATTCCCCTTACAGGGATCTTCTTGGAAGAGTTAAAGGCATCATATTAGAGTCACCATGCATACCCATGTTTATAGCAGCACAACTCATAATAGCTAAATCTTGGAAGTAGCCTATATGCCCATCGATAGATGAATGGATAAAGAAAATGTGGTATTTACACATGTTAGAGTACTACTGTGCCATAAAGAAGGATAAATTTGAGTTATTTGTGGTCAATGGATGGTTATTTGGTCTCAGTGGATGCACCTTGAGACCATAATGCTAGGTGAAATAAATCAGACACATAAGCTTGAATGTCACATGGTGTCTCTTATATGAGAAACCCAGGGTAAAAATAAAGAGCAAACTAAAAGGTAGATGACAGGAAGGAGGGAGGTAGACATTTCTCAAAGGGAAAGGGGATTGGAAGATGGAGGGATGGGGAGAAGGGGACAAAAAGAAGGGGAGGGGATGAAAGGAATGTGGATGTATTATGTACATGTGCCAACTCTACTCAAGGAATGTAAACATTACATACTACACACATGTATTATTTAACTAAACTAAGAAAACCTTCAGCATGTGACAAAAATAAGACCATAAAAATACTGGGAATGAAATGGGGATAATTACTACAGGTTTCAATAACATCACTACACACACACACACACACACACACACACACAAAACAAAAACATATGTACGCCAGCATTTCTACTAGTGGGCATTTCTATCCCAAAGAAGTGAAAACTTATGCTCTCAAGAAAACCTTAACACAAATGCTCATTGTGGCTTTATGTGAAAAAGCCAGACACTGGGGAATCAGATATTCTTCAGTTTGTTGGACGCTTTCACAAACTGTGCTACAAACACACCACAGAAAATGAGCAGTGAAGAAGAGTAGCTTATTGATATGCATAAAAACGTGGGTGAATCCCAGGGAATTCTGCTGAGTGGAAAAACCAACGCAGAAAAAGTTACATGTCGTAAAATCTCACTTATGTAACATTTCTGAGATGACAAGACTTTAGAAACAAAGGGAGATTATAAACAGGCAACACAAAGCATTCTTCTGGCATTGGAACTATTTAAACTATTAGCTCTGGGTGCCTTAACAAGGAACAACACTGCGTGGCTTAAACACATTTATTCCTCACTTCTGCAGGGTGGGAGGTCAAAGTGCCAAGTCTGGTTTCTGGTGGAGGGGCCGGGGATATAGCTCAAGGGCACAAGCATCTGCCTGGCAAGCACAAGGTCCTGAGTTCGATTCCTGGCACCAGAAAAAAAAAATCTGGTGGACACTAATCCCATGGGGGGGCCCCATCTCATGGCCTCATCTTACCCTAATTATTCAAGACTCACCCAAAGATACCATCCCACTGGGCCTTGGGACCTCAAGACATGAATTTCATGAGGATACAAGTTAAACTTTCAATGATCAAATAATGTTAGTCCATACCAAGAATCTTGACTGTGGTAGAGGATATACAAATTTATTCAGGTGATAAAACTGTATCGTTTAATACATATATAAGCAAACAAGTACAAATAAAGGTGGGAAACTATGAATAATACTGGTGAATTATATCAGTATCAGCATCTGGCTGTGACAGTAAATCACCATTTTCAAAATGGGAAGTAACCAGAGCACCCAAGGATGTCTCTTTATAATTTCTTCCCACCCCAGGCAAAGCTAAATCACCTCAACATTTTCTTAATTTTTAAATTGCTTTAATCTTCCTAAAAAGTTCTGAAAACATTGAGCTCAGAACTCCTGTTTTTTTTTTTTTTAGTGGAAGAAGCTTTGATTCCACCCTTTATTCTACCATTATTGCAAAAAGAAGTTCCCCGATTCACTATTAAGTATAAAAAACTTGATGACAAGTGCTCACATTATTAGGAACTTGTCTTTTCCCAAATCCTCTTCCAAGTGCTTTGTATGTAATGACCCTGTAAGAACTCCAGCAGCCACGTGAATTAGTACTGCTTTTACTCCACTTTATAGTTCGGAAGTGAAGCAACTCGTCTCAGGTTGGGCAGCTATGCTGAGATGGGATTCAGGCTCAGGCAACCTCATTTTTCCCTGCTGGCACTCTCTGGGACCTCCACTGAAAATGGTCAACATGAGCACGGGGAATAGACATCTTGGCCCTGTTCCTGACCTTAGGAGAAAAATATTTACTCTTTGCCATTTACTGCGATGTCAGCTGTGCTTTTGTTTTGCCATATGCTACTCACCAGCTTGAAGTTACCTTCTCTAGTCTGTTCTTTAACTGATAAACAAACCACGTGTTTGAGTTTTCCTACATGCTTTTCCACATCTTCTTTCTGAAATGTAGAGAGTAACACTGATTTTTCAGCGAAGAAACTAATGTTGCATTGCTGTAACAAACTCTCCTTATGCACAGTATCCTTTTTGAAATGTTGCTGAGTTCCATTAGATAATACATTGTGAAGGATTTTCGTTCATAGGTAGAGGTAGAATTCTGGAGCCAAATGTCTTCCTACATTTCTTTTTAAGAGTGAAACAAGAAGTGGGGTGGAGAGGGGCTCACAAAGATTCTCAGTAGAAAGTCACTCGCCTTCTTCAGTGCAGAATTATTCCACAGGGTCTCAGGCAGCACTGGCTCTGCCCTGCCAGGAACCTTTTCATAAATATGCGCCTATACCAATTCTTATGGATGCTTTACGTTGCTCTAGTCTATGGTGGTGAGGCTGGGTATGGTGGGTATGGTAAAACACTGATCAGATGACTAGTAATTCAGATTTCTCCTGCAGAGGGAGATATGGACAGGAGATGTTTATGTACCTGTGTGTCATCAGAGAGCTGTCAGGGGAAGTCAGTGTTAGGTTTAATGTGAAATCAGATCAGGACAGCATTTGGCTTACTCTGTGGATATAGATTGTGCTTGCCTTTCGGGCAGCTCTTCCTATAGGATGTGAGTCAGAACACTGATACTTTCAGCACTTGCAATGGTCCACACACACACACACACACACACACACACACACACACACACACAGTCAGCAGATTGCACAGGCCTGGAAAAGAGTTCTGGAGACCAGGCTCAGCAGCAGCAGGTGAACCATAAGCAGACACAGGAAACCTACAGGTATAAAGCTCCTCTTTTCAGCTGACCCCTCCAGAGTAAAAAGAGCACCTTTTATTCTGTTTTCCCACAGTTCCTACCATGGTTCACCGAGTATAAAAAAGCAAATGAATGATCACTGCTCATTGGAGGGAACTTCACTGACTATATTCATTTGAGTAAGTTATTAAATGCCCACAGCTACATGCAAAACAAAGTTTAAATACAACTTTCTGTTTTATAATCAGCTTATAAAACTTCTCCCCTTCTTTGTAAGCCAATAAATTATAGTTTGGAAGCGCTGCAAATTTATCTTGGCTTCCTTTCCAAAGAGAACCTCATGCTGGACCCCATATTTTAAAATTTTGGTTAAATGTTATATCCTTAATCCTAGTTTACATTAAAAAAAATCTATGATAAATGCTTATGAAAATTTTTGCAAAATTACAGAAGTCCCAACATCTATCACACTATATTTTCTGCCAAAAGGTGACAAATTTAAAAACCACTGACAGTGCACTTTTATATAAAATAATTACAGTAAAATGTTTTGGTAGATTTTATTCACATTATTTTTTAAATCATAAGCAACATCATTAGCCATGAACTCAATATAGTCAAAATATATTTTTCTTTAAGGCACTACTTAGGATTTTATTTAAAGCACTTATTTTTATTTACACTCTAAGAATTGACAATAAATATAAACTTGACATCTAATGGTTGTCCTTCATTTGTAATCTTATATATTAACAGTGTAGCAAAGCCCTACAAATAAAAGGAATTAAACATAATCTTCCTGGAAGTATACAAGACACAGGTGAGGGAAGAAAACACCGAACAACAGTGCAAAGGGATTTTAATTCTTTAATGTTCCAATAACTCATTTGTGAATTCTTAAAGGAAGCCTAATCAGCTAATACTACAAAGCCTAGAGCACAAGGCATTGAAGTATTTTTATTCTATTGCTGTTTGCCAGAAAAAAACTTATACATTAATAACAGCAGCACAATTAAACATTTATCCTGAATTCACCCAGTGAATTAACAAAAAATAACCAACTTTCCAATTACCTCTGAGCACTGTGGTCCAAAAGAGTGAACCCTTAACTGGAGTCAAATGTTTCCCACTGCCCAAAAAATACAGCAGCACGGGAGTAATAATCACTTAATAAGAGACACACCGAGCCAGAAGCTACTAGTTTTACTAAAAGATTTCTCAGTCACTACAGGAGTCATTGGCTTTGTGATAATTTTCTTAGAGACAAGTGAATTAGTACCATGTTTAATATGATATACATATGTCTCTGATTAAACAAATACTATTTTGATCTCACTGAAATATACCTTAAAATTTACATAATTTCACCTTTTGAGAATGAAATAGCAAATAGAATTAAAAGTCCTATATAGAAGAGTTAAGGCCCTGCCTGACAACTGGCTCATTCCATTCTACACCAAATCCACTCACAGCTAGACGCCTTGTAAATGGATTTCTAAGTCTCACAACCATCGACCAAGCTGATGCAATCACTGAAACCGTCCAGACACTAAAACCCACTAACTAGTATCAAATAGTCCACTGCTGTTTTGAAAGTGTAGACCACTTAAAAAAAAAAAAAAGATTTAAAATATGGCAGTTCTTTGATATTTTTTAAAAAGAAATCAAAGTGGAAAGGAAATTGTCTATTTTATTTAGTACAACTATTTACCTTTATTATAACTATTGCATGTAAAGACAAAAGTCTTGAAAATTTATTCCAAAGCAATCAGTCCTCTACTGTTTTTAATACAGTTAAATTTATGACCAGTAGCATGGATGCTTTATGTGGGGTTCAGAAACACACCCTAAAAACTCCAAATGTAACAGATATCTGGCTCAGGAAGTTAGCAGTGACCCACCAGGACATGTGCTATGTTTGATGACTGACATCACAGGTAAGCAATGTATACCTGGGCTGTATACTTACTGTAGATCAGCTATGTATGTGAAAAACAGTTACCAAAGTTGTGATCCAGATATCCAAGTGAACAGCCAGCATGAGTCTATCCCACCACTTAACACATGGATGGTACAAAGATCCGAAGACACTAAATTTCACTTCAGATCTCTTTGCTACTCTATTGTCTACAAAGTAAGATAAAAAGCCCCAAAGGTAAATACAGAAATCTCTCTTCATTTGACACAATCAAAATCAGATTTGTATTCAGGTCATACATTTTGTATAGCCCTTGGATACTTCAAGTTACAGTAAACAATATGAGAAAGCTAGAAATAACAAAAATTAAGGAGTTTTTAAAATTAGGACTTCGTGAGTTAGGTAAAAGTAAATAAATATACAGTGCAAAAATAACCTTTCCTGAGAGCTGTGTTCTAGGGGAGAGGATGGCTGACCACAGTCTAGTCCCCTGGGGCTTCCCACAGTGTCGCAGAACATCAGTGCATGCCTGCAAATAGGCACATGTGCAGAGTCACGCATAAGCGCACACAACACAAAGGCATTCAACACGGAGAAACGCATTTTCTCTACTTTCTTCTGATTTATAAGCAATAATCTTCAGAAGATTCAACTTCTGAAACCTCAAAGGCTTAAGCATCTCCATAAAGATACAATGGTGCCAACTGAGGTTTGTATCACATGCTGCTGATGGTTTTGTTCATCTTTTCATAGCTTCTCTTAAAGTGGTTTCTTCCTACGCCACATTTTTAGGGGCCTGGCTAACCGATTTTATTAACCATCACAGAATTTCCCACCTCAAGGGTTTACTTGGGATAAAAACTGAGTAACATGTTCCAGCTGGCTTGAACCACCAGTAGTACATACACAAGTGTCCCAAGTGGCCCAATGGGACAGTCATGTACATGCCACAGTGGTTCAGAGCCACCCAGCAGCAAGACAGAATTATGGCCTCACTATGCACGTGTTAAAGGCAACTACAAAAATATAGAAAACTTTTTTCTCTCATACACAAAATTCACAAATTGTTTCATTTACAAATGTATAAATTTATTAGAAAAACATGCCTACTAAACTTTGGTATATTTTCATTTAAAGATGTATCATCTTCACTGCAAAAAAAAAAAAAGGTGGTATTTTTCTCTGGAAAAGCTATGTAGAGAAACAGATGGTGTTAACAGATTAACTAGCAACTCTACTACAGTTAAGGTTGTTTGTATTAGGAATACACCAAAACACAAGGAAACACAAAATACTGTTAGCATGCCTGGTCTAAGCTGTCTTTGAAAGCATACTTTTTCATGGTTATAACACTATTCCTTGAATGTATCCTTAGTTTTGAGATTGATCAAAGACAGCTTGTAGAAATCCCAGCCTATTACTCAATTAAAGGATCATCGTCGTCGTCTTGTAGTTGAAGTCGGGAAAAGGGGCGGGGTGCAGAGAGTCTATTCTGCATGAGTATTACGAGGCATGTGAGCGTGGTCAACACCAACAGCGCGCCAATGACAATCCCGATGGCTTCCGGGAGATGAATGCACCACTGGTCAACTAGTAAGCACTTGGTGTGCCCCAGGGTTCCATTATTAGGCTGTGGTTTTAACCCCAGGATGTGGCACATCATTGGGTAAATATCCACGATGTCCATGGTGCTCTGCTTGTAGCCTCTGTGAAAGGCAGGACCATGAGCAGCTAGAAATGGATGCATAGCAGGCAAAGAATTATCATAGCCATGGTCACCTACTGAGAAAAGAACAACATGGTGTTAGTAACATCAGTTACTAACAGGTTAGTAACCTCTTATTAAAGAACAGCTTGCTTCAGGAATAAGTACACTCACTTCATAAGTTGTATACAGCTTTATAAATTCATCCTAACTCCCATCCATTATGACAGGAGCCAGAGTTAAAAAATATGCCTTTCCTCCAGCTCAGCCGGGTTCCCTGTTTCACAGGCAATCCCTCTTCCCCTGGGTCTGACCTCAGATTGCTGACTCTACTTCTCAAGAGGATGTTCTCACCTCTCAGCCCTAACCCGAGAGACCACCTCCCAACTTCTACCACTGTCTGCAAAACTCAAACTGCAGAGCAGCAGTGATAGAAAGAACAGTGAGGCTGAGGGTCCTGCTGGCCCAGGGAGAGAAACCCCTGCCTCCTCCAGTGCTCCTGTGACAAGAACTAAAGGGCAGAACGCAAGACTGGCTGACAGCCAGCAAGCACCGCACTACGGGGGGCCAGATTCAGAGCTCCACACAACAGGTTCTGGTATTGAATGTGGAATGAAGGCAGATGACACCCACTTGGGACCCATGTAAAGATGTAACTCAGAGAAAAAGAGGATAAACAGGTCCCTGATGAACCTCCAATACCGAAGTCCCGATTTTTGGCTTTATTTTAACAAAAGCTGTCTTTTTGTATACCTCAGCTGCATTTAGTACATTCTCACTTTCATAATAAGTAAAGATAACTGCATGTGTATCGTGTTTGTTATTCTCTAATTGTATTTGAAATATTTCATAATAAAAATAACACGATTAATATGACAAAAAGAACAGGTATAATTCAATAATACAATATACATATACAAATAACAGAAAGAAAATGAGGAGGAAACTCCCACAGTATTTGTCTGTCTCTGTATTGAGGGATTATGGAATGCTTTTGTTCTCTTTCCTATATTTTATAGGTTTGCAACACTGAGTATATAAAATAACATAAAGATAAATGATATATAAACTCCACTAACTCTGAGTCTGTCTTATCTTTCACTGATGTAGTGGGGTGTACAAGCTCCAGCCCATGTTTGTGTAAACCAGTTCATGGGAGCAGTCTACTTCAACTCATATATGACAGCATGGCTGAGTAGCTCAGGCACCAGCTGGTCCACAACACCTAAAATATTTATTATCTGGCCCTTTGAGAAAAATGTGCTGATCCCTGCTATGGACTACAAAATGAGATTTAAAAAAAGTATTAAAACTGAAGGTAAATGCAGAAAAATTAGCTTCACTGGAGGAAGACCCATACATTTCTGTTTTAGCAGAAATGTTAGTAGGTCTATTTTGTTTACTGGTGGATTTTTTTGTTTACTTTCTGGTTCTTGCTCAGTGGTCTAAATATAGAAAATATAGGTCTAAATATAGGCGATCAAGGAAATGATTTTATCATTGGGGAAAGACTCAGGATTACAGATAAATTTTTAACACATAGCATAAAAGAAATTTGAGGTAGCTAATTTCCCTTTTTAGCTTGGCTTACTTCCCCTTTATTTTCTACAAATTAGGAGAAGCAATCTTGAAAATTACTGACAGTAACCACAGTATTAGTAAGGAAGCAAAACTATACTTTTAAGGTTACCCATCCTTATAATCTAAGAATGAAACTGTGGTTATTGCAGACTGCATTCAAATCCTAACAAGAGTAACCTATAATCCCGGGCAAATATATCTAAATCAAATTATCCTCCGAACAAAGCAATGTATGGTGGGTCCCCTAGGATACAACAGAAATACCCTAAATACTTACATTTTGATAATGATTTATTTCGTACAATTGTCCACCCTTCATCAGCAACCAAAACAATAGGCTGGATTCGATCATTATGTTGGTAATTAAATCTGTTAGGAATATCTTCTTTGAGATAAACATTCATGTGAGGGCTACAATTTTTTAGTTTGTCATAAACTTCTGTTATATCTATAAAAAAAGGAAAGACAGTTCAACTGACAAGGAAAAACACGCTGAACTGGAAATAAATTTTGGATAATGTCATCCATTAAAACACTTTTAATTCTTTTTTTTTTGGTACCGGGAATCGAACTCAGGACCTTGCACTTGCCAGGCATGTGCTTGTGCCACTGAGCTATATCCCTGGCCCACTTTTAATTCTTAAAACAACAGAGAATTATGTGATCATGTTTGGGATGGAGACACACAAACATATACCTTCCAAGCATTCACATACCTCATCACTTTTATAGGATGGGTATTACTTTCATACTGAACTTCTAAGTAAACAGAAACTAATTATGTATTACTACCAATTACTAATTCTATGATTGAACGAAAAGTATGTTTTACACTAAAGATCAAAGATTTTTTTTTAACACATTCCCACTGGCATGAACCACCAGCGGTACAGGCATGAGTATCCCATCGGGTGGCTTGAACAAAAGGGTGGCACGGAAGGATTGAATCACACAGGTACCACTGGTAGTTCAAGCCAGCAAGAATGCATCATGTTGAAAACAGAGTCTCCCACCAGGAAGACATGAATTACAGCCCTATTGTGAATGTCTTAAGGACATAAACTTCCTTTTTCCTTTAGTGTGGATAATTGAGAAATACAGTAAGATGCAGAGGAAAAATCACTTCAAACCTAATCCATACACCACCTGCTCACAGGTGTATACTGGGGGAGAGCACCAAAGTGAGCAGGTATATGGATCCCAGACCGCAAGGAGCCAGAGCACCATTTCTCCATACACCCTCCCTCCTTAGTCAGTGTACCACCCAGGTAGCAGTCACTCAGCTAAGTCCACTTACTTATTTTGGGAAGTATTGCAGCCACAGGGGTCAAATCTATGAGGCTGTAGTCTGAACGATCAATGCAGAGATCCAAGTTTATCAATCTGCTCTCAGAACACTGCGACATCCCGTGGTCACTTGTAATGATCACGTTGAGACTTTCCCACAACCCTGACATTTTGAGTTTCTGGACGAGGACACCGATGTGATCGTCAACTTCCTTCAACACCCGGGGCATGTTTTCTTTATCATCAGGTCCGTATTTGTGGCCACTGGCATCTGGTTCCTCCCAGTAGAGCGTGGCAAAAGTGACCGGTGGGTTGGAAGTGCTGAGCCATGCGGTGATGTTGTTTAGCCTCTCCTTAAAAGTTACCGAGGGGCTGTAATTCATAAAATAGGAAGGGGTGGTGTTGTGAATGCGGACGTCGGTGCCAGGCCACATAGCAGCAGCGCTCGACCTATTCTCCTGAAGCTGGTTTGTCACCCAGATGGGGACTGCCTCATTCCACCAGAAAGGGTCCTTGTCATTGGAGTCAGAAAAATATTTCTTTGTGACCGAGTCATACATAGAATTGGCTACGATGCCATGGCTTTCCTCATACAAGCCTGTCACGATGCTGTAGTGGTTTGGGAATGTTTTTGTGATAAAAACATTTTTAACATGTTCTACCAAGACACCTTCTTTAATAAAATTCTGGAGGTGAGGGAATTCGTAGTTCTGCAGATAGTCAGCTCTGAAGCCATCAAAGGACACCAGCAGCAACCTGGGCGGCAAACTATCGGAAGAGTTCCCTGTACAGCCAGTCACGAAGCCGGAAAACATGAGCAGCGCGAGGAAGGTCATCGTGAGCGTGCAGCAGGTCAGCGATCAGGGCTCCTAGACAGGAGACACAGCCGTAAGTAGTCATGCTGCTGTGTGTTCGTTAAGTTTCGGAAGTACAGCCAACAGAGGACAACAGAGGAGCAACGTTCACAAACTTTATATGCCAGCATTACCTACGTTAATTTAAAAAACAGACGTCACTTAAATAAGCTAAAGTCGGAGTAGATACAAATTCAATGTGTACTGGCCCCATTTCCTCCTCGTACATTCCTCACAATGAAAGGGAAAAGGGCCATTCCCTGCCCCCCATAAATACTCCTACATAGCTGCCCTGCTTGTCCACAGCAGCAGAAATTATTCTTTCAACTTAGAAAAAATGAAGAAAAACTGATTCTTCTGTATAAAATACAAATACCAAGTTTTCCGAGGCTCCAAGGAGACAGGTTATTTTTCTAGTTTACTGAATAGAACGCTATAGTTCCTTTGGCCCACAGACATAGTAGGTGGAAATCTGACTACATCAGCTCTACTGCAGTCCTTACTGAAAACCACTGGCAGAAAAAGAGGAATAATAAATAAAATGCAGCGGGGTACAAAGGCACATGCCCGTAAAGCTAGTACTCTGCAAAACTGAGGCAGGAACACTGCAAGCTCATGCCCAGCCTGGGCAATTTAGCAAAATGTGTATCAAAGTAAAAAATGAAAAATGGGGATACTGGATATGTAACTCAATGAGAAGGCCCTGGGTTCAGTCCCCAATACCCAAAGAAAAAACAAAAGAAAAAAAGGGAGACAGAGAAAGAAAGAAGGGAGGGAGGGAGGGAGGGAGAGAGGGAAGAGGGAAGGAAAGAAAGAAAGAAAGAAAGAAAGAAAGAAAGAAAGAAAGAAAGAAAGAAAGAAAGAAAGAAAGAAAGAAAAGAGAAGGAAGGAAGGAAGGAAAGGGAAGGAGGGAGGGAAGGAGAGAAGGAAGGAAGGAAGGAAGGCAGGCAGGCAGGCAGGCATAGGGCAAGAGAGACTCCACTTTTCTGTTTTTAACTCCATATTAAGAGAAGTCACTTAAGTTCACTTAAGCTGTAGTTGACCCCCAATTTTCACCCCTTGCCTTGGTTAGTTATCAACCCATTTAAAGGACAGCAGTCACAAAATGGGAATAGAACAAACAGGACAAATTGGGAAGCAGGCTAAAAGTTAAACTGCAATGGTCATTTGGAATTTGGCTGTCTGAAAGCTTTGGGGAAGAAGTAAACTTTGTGATAATTGTGTGACATTCTTATAGAATGAGAACCCAGGGCCTTCTCACTGAGTTACATATCCAGTATCCCCATTTTTCATTTTTTACTTTGATACACATCTTGCTAAATTGCCCAGGCAGAAATGAGGTAATGGTTACTAAGGAAACCTAAAATGTACTTCAGGTGAGACCCAGATTGGGGTGGACATCTTCTCTGGCTCCTGGTTAGAGAACTGTCCGTCAGATGGCTCAATAAAGCTTTATTCGTTCCTCCCTTTTCAGTTTCTTGTGAGTGCCTTTCTCACTGAACTCGCTTGCCGCATCAGAAGGAAGGCAGGCTGGTAGGCAGGCAGGCGGGCAGGCGGGCAGGTGGGAGGGTAGGATGGATGGATGGATGGATGGATGGATGGATGGATGGAAGGAAGGAAGGAAGGAAGGAAGGCAGGCAGGCAGGAGTTATTTGAGAAAAAGTCTCAACTCAGTCTCTACCTGCCCTAGTATTCACACGACAGTGACTAATAAGTCAGAGGGTCATGGATGCCACAGAGACTTCTGAAGAAATGCAACAGCTGTTGAAATAAATTTCATCATCTCCTCCCTCTTAAATTGCCATTTTGCTGTCCATGACTTAACTCTTAATAACCCAGGTTCAGAGGTGTTTCTAAATTGTTTGTTTTTTTTAAAAACAATTCACTGATTAAAAAACCATCACACTCCATCTTCTTTGTTCTCTAGAAAGATAGACTATATAGCCAGGTGCAATCATGCACCCATTCAATCCCAGCTCCTTGAGAGGCTGAGGCAGGAGGATCACAAACCCAAAAGTCAACCTGGGCAACATCATCAGGCCCTGTCCCAAAATAAAATAGAAAGGTCTTGGGGATACAGTACAATTGTGGAGTGGTTGCCTAGCATGCATGAGGCCCTGGCTTCAATTCCTGTAACACACATACACACACACACACACACACACACACACACACACGAGAGAGAGAGAGAGAGAGAGAGAGAGAGAGAGAGAGAGAGAGAGAGAGAGAGAGAGAAACGTGAGGCCGCACACTCTGAAGACACTGGGACTACAGCTGCAGCCCTGGGGCTGAACTGGTTCTGGCCCGGGGATTCTGATGAGCTCAGAGAACAGACATGTGAAGCCAGGCAAAGCTGCAACGGCCGTGGTCAGACTGAGGTGTAGGGGTTCACTATTTCAGAGTGAGAAGACGCCAGTGAGGTGCAGAGGTACACATCTTGGACAGCAGCCAGCTACCAACAGAATAATTACACTTGTAAGCCACTTACTGTGGATTCTTCTTTCTCGCAAGTACACCACAACTACCTAAAGGCAGAGGCTTTCCTCTTTTGATCTGTGGTGTGGTGGTCAGTCAGATACTTATGGATTGAAGCTGGGACCCCCTCTGAAAAACAGTGACTTCAAGTCCTGAAGACCAAAGACCAGAGTTTGTGAGGATCTTTGGGTCTGAAAAAACCTCTACCATTTAAATCAGAGATAGCAGCTTTCTGAGGGTGGGGCATGGAGCATCTGTCTCTGGTGCCATCCAAGAAACCAGAATAAGAATCCTAGTGAGCAGAAAAGAACTCACACAGACACAGCCAGACCACAGCCCAACAATCCCAGCTGTAAGAACCTAGGCAGGGCTACTTCCCTTTCATTCAGTGTGTCTGTGGCACAGTGTTTATGCACAACCTAAATCCTGCCTCAGTCATTTTTAACTGGGCTCAGTCAGACAACAACATTATGTCCTAGGTTTCAGTAATTCTGGAATTTCTGCAAAGGCAGGCAGGTCTCCATGAAAGCTTGGAGTGACCTGGGTGTGGTAATCTCAGATACTTAGGAGGCTGAGGCTGGAGGATGGCAAGTCAGAGGCCAAGCAGGGCAGTTTCATGAGACCCTATCTCAAAATAAAAATAAAAACGGCTGGGAATTTAGCTCAGTGCCCCTGAACACAGCTAGTTCCTCATACTCAAATATTTGATTTCATTAACAGAACAAATTTAAAACAGCAAGGAGGTGACAGTATCTTTTCAAGGGGAAAAAGCAGTTATAGATTTAATTTTAAAAAATTATTTACTTGCCTGGCTCTTTGCCTGAGTAACCATTCTACATTCCCACACAATCTCACTGCAAAAACCACTCTGCTGCCAAATCCAATCGGATGTACGTCAGAATGCGTACGTCATCACGCTCCCAAACCTTTCCCTTTCCTTAGTTTTCCGACCCTTTCAAACCACTTCCCATTCTCTTGGGCCAGGGAGCTCTCCATCAGCTGCCAGGCCAGCTGCCCTGCCTCGGGTCATCTAATACATTTGGGGACACGCAAGAATCAGCGGAGAAGCTAGGTCAAAGCAGAGTCGTCCAGCCTGTACATCTGAGAGACTCAGATGCAGTTCTCCCTAGTGCAAGTCAGGAACCTGTTCCACAGCAGCCCCTCCTGCTGCCATGTGCTCCTCGGGTCAGGTCCTCAACAGCTCTCCAGGGCTATGCACCTTTTTACCCGCTCTCCTATCTTCGTCACCTTCCCCTTTCTTACCCGACACCCACTGCCAACTTAATCTTCCTCACCACAGCTGTCAAGATACTTTCCTAAAAAATAAATGTAAAGAGTTGGGTGTGGTGGCACACACCTGTAATCCCAGCACTCGGGAGGCTGAGGCAGGAGGATTGTTTATAGTCCGAGACCAACCTGGGCTACAAAGTGAGCTCAAGGTCAGCCTGAACTGCATAGTGAGACCCTGTCTCAAAAAGACAAAAACAAATATAAATAAATAAGTAAAAAGTTCAAAGGAACCCCTTCCTACACAAAAAGTCCAGATACCTCAGTCTAGCATGTGAGCCCTGCCAGAACTCAGATCCAACCTGCCTGGAAATTGCTGTGAGAGGTACAGAAATAACTGCTAGCCTTTGTGTTCATTCACCATATCTCAATGTAACAATGACATGTAAAACAGTATTATCATTAATCTTGAGAACCTATAGGTGGCCTATTATAGCTCTTCCACAAGAGTTTGTGTTTCTAGAACATCCTAAAATTACTTTCTAAACATGAAGTGTTGCTCAGACACTTTTAGGTCATTTTTAAAAAAGTCATCCAACAAATATCTAATATAACTAAATATATAACACAAAAATATATGCACATGTCATGTATCAGGAGAAATAAATGCTTTATATTTTTCAAATATCTAATACTCAAGACAGGGCATAAATAATCAAAATAATGAATCAGACAAGTAAAACACATGCTTTACACTTAAATCAACTTTGTTCTACAACATCAAGGCTTCTTTGTAACATGGTCCTCAAGATTCATACACTGTATTTTTTTTTTAAGAACTAAACGTTTAGGGGGCTGGGGATTTAGCTCAGCGACACAGCGCCTGCCCGGCAAGCGCAAGGTCATGAATTCCATCCCCAGTACCGGAAAAAAAAACCAACAACAAAAAAGAACTAAACGTTTAGAGGAATTACTACAAATGGGACATCACAGGATGTCAACCATTTTTCCAATAAAGTAACCTCCAGGAGAAAGGGGGTGCGGAGACAATTCAACCAATGGTGCAAGGACAACTAGGGATCCACCTGCAAAACCAGAGTACCCAACTCCTAACACACATAACAATTAGCTTAAAAGTGACCACAGATCTAAATTGAGAATGACAGCTATAAAGCTCTTAGAGGAAAAGACAGGATCAACTCTTTTTTTTTTTTTTCCCCCCGGTACCGGGAATCAAACTCACAATGTTGCGCTTGCCAGGCAGGCGCTGTGCCGCTGAGCTAAATCCCCAGCCCCACAGAATCAACTCTTCACAACCCTGGAACAGACAAAACCTTCTTGTAGATACCACATCAAAACCACAATTAAAAAAAAGAGAGCAATAAATTGGATTTAATCCAAAAAAAGATTTGCGCTTCAAAGGATGCCATCAAGCAAATGTAAAGACAACTTAAGAATTAGAAAATACCTGCAAATTACCTGTTAAGGGAATTGTATGTAGAATAAATAAAGGACTGTTGTAATTCAGTCATAATCAAATAATCAGGTTGTGATAATCAATTTCCTCTTTTCCCTCTAGTTACAGGGCTGCTGTTTTGGGGGCGGGGGTAATCTATACCATGACAGGCAGAAGAACGTTACTGTGAAACTAAAATAAATTATGAATAATTTAGTCTAATCTCCTTTTACATACGATGCTCAATTCCAGTGACTGGTTGAGCTCAGAAAGCAATCAGCTCTTACTAAATTCATGCCCTCAGTAAGCCGGGCAATAATCCTCAAACTAGTAACAGAACTCCACTTGCCAGAATATCTGCCTCTTTTGTTAGCAGTGCCAGGATCTAAAACCACCACATTCTGCTTCATTCTAACAGCTACTGTTAAACTATACATCACCAACCAGTGAAAAATTCTCAAGTACTTTTAAACAATGAAAATGAAGCTTTAAGGAATGAAACTGTTAAAAATATGGGGAGAAATTCTGTCATTTTTCACACCAAAACATGCAATGTATCTCCCTCCAATTCAAGGGGCAGAACACCCCCATCTCCTCTGGAACGTCTTTCCTGCTGGGATATGCTGCATGTCAGCTCTCACTGGCATTCACAGCCCATGTGAGACCACGGGAAGTCTCAAAAGGATATGGTGCACAGCGCCTGCCCGGCAAACCCAAAGTCCTGAGTTCGATCCCCGGTGCTCCACCCAAAAAAGGAAGAAAGGATATGGTGAAAGACATTTGTCACTATTAGCATGTCACCTGCTCTGTAGTACAATGAAGTTCCTAAATGGCTTCAAAATAACATTGAACATAAAGACAACTTATATGTTCACCTAAGATTATGCTCCGAGAATCGCTCCCTGAAAAACATTCTCACGTTAAAAGTTCAGGATTTTGAATTGTTCTCCAATTTTCGAAACAAAATTTTCGAGCACCTTCCAAGCAGTTCCACTTACTTGACTTTCTACATAATAAGGTACCCCTCTCCATGTAATCCTTGTGTTTCCATCAGAACTTCTTGCAAATTTTATTTTGTAACTAAAAGGAGAGAGAAGGAACAAGTGAGGCGAGAAGAACTCTCAAGCTCTTAGTATCCTTAAAACATTTTGAAGCAATCCGTAAAAAAAAGGAAGACGTGAACGACAGTACCGAAAGCAGCGGTTGATTTCCTCCAGGAACTGGGGCTCCCCCCAGGTCGCCTGGGGGTTCACCAAAGCCCGAGCTGGGCGTGGTGACCTGCGCACCTGTCTATCGCCCCGCAGGATCCCGGACACAGTCTCCAACCGGTCTCTGCACTTCCCCGCCCCAACCAGGACGCTATTCGTTTACTGGACTGTTGGGACTAGGGAAGGAAGCGTTGTTCGTACAGGGCTTAACCCTGTGTCCGGCCATAAAAAGCCCTTAAGCGGTATAGCTCACTCTCTGGCCCGCTTGCGTCCTAGAAAATCGGTTTTACATATAATTATCGAATCACATATACTTCACTAACCTAAGCTCCGCTACTCAGGCAGGTGCAGCCCGGCAGGAGCCAGGAGAGTCACCGCAAACCCAAGGTCCGGGCCACCGACCCCGCCTCCACCCCGCACCGCGGTCCGCCGCACCCTGTAACCCCTGACCCCGTGACCTCCGACCCCTCCCGCGTCCGCCCGGCCTCTCTCCTCCGGTACCCTCGGACGTGACCACTGGCGCACCGGAACGCGGGTGCCCAGCAGGACACGGCCCGGGCCTCACCATCTCCGTTTCCGTAAAACTCCCGTGGAACGGGGAGGATGACCTTCCCTTCGAAAAGCTCGGCCCGCAAGCTCGGCGCCCACTCATGCGGCGCCTGCGGATGCCCGGAGGCGCGGGAGACCCTTGCGAGGGGGCGAGGCCGGCTCCTCCGGTGGCGCCTGCGCAGTCGCACACGCGCGCCTGGGTCACAGCCGCCCGGGGTCTTACGCTGCCCTGGGCGCCTCAACTATGCGCAGCCGCGGGGTGCCAGGGTCTACGAGTCTGAGACGCTTCCTCCTATTGGATATCGGAGACGGCATCGGATGTAACTCCATTGCTGATTGGTTAGACTTACATACCCCTGGAGACAGGTGCCCTAGCGAAGCTGAATCGCACGGAGGAGGAAAAACGCGTCCTGTCTCGCCCCACGCCTCGTTCTTAGCTCTAGGTTAGGTGCTCTTAGGGGGCCTGGAACCCGATGAGTTCCTAAAGTCCTTGACAGGGGGCAAGCTGAAGTCGTTCTCACTCCTCGCATTCTCTATGGTGCGCCCCAGATTAGGGTCCTGCAGGGTCCCAGGCCAAGACTAGATCTCCAGAGAAGCAGGTGTCGACGGCAGCCAGGACGTCCCAGCTGCTTACTCACCTTCACCAGGAAAGTAGTTTTTCCTTCTGTCTGCTGTCCTCGGCCATTCGTCCATAAACCTGTTGGTCCAGCATTGCTTGTGGACAAAACGGTGGTTGCCCAGTTGCAAAACCCCAATAAAGGCCAGCTAAGATTTCAAGTTAAATGTTCTATAATTTTGTCTTTTTACACAGACGAGAGACAAACCCTTTTCTTATTAGATATGTATGTTGGCTATGCTCCTGTCTTTCATAGGAAGATTGGTCCAACATTTGGATAACAGAACTCTATAAACTTAGCAGAAAGACGCCTTACCAAACACAGGCGGATCTGCTTACACTTGTGCTGATCGGGCACAGTTGGTTAAGCGAGAATAGGATGTTTTCTGGATCTGCATCGCCAAACACAGAACCTGGCATAGAAGTACTAGTAAATCATTATTTAACTTAATGGAGTGCTTCAAGGTGCTCCAGGCTTGTTGCACCCTGCCTCTCCATCTCCCCACCATTAAAGTGCAAGTTCCGGGAGAATATTTTCTTTCTTGTTCACTATCTTCCACAGATGCTCAAAAAAGTCTAACTCAATGAATAAGAACCTTGGCCATAGGCAGTATCCTCAGATGTTGTCTTAGCCACTTTCTCCATTGCTGGAACAAAAGGAGGAGAGGTTTGTTCAGGCTCACGATTGAAAAGTTTCAGTCCATAGCTTAAATACAGAAATGGCATGGAGAAAGGACCTAGGGCAAGGAAAGCTGCTCACATCATGGTGACCAGGAAACAGAAAAGAATGAAGGAGCAGGGGAGAGAGCTATACCCTTTCAGGTTCTACCTCCAGTGTGACCTGCCTCTCCCAATCAGGCCCCACCTCCTAATAGCAAATCACCTGTAGCGAAATCCTCCTACAAAAGTCGTTTCTCTGAGCCTGGGAGGCTCTTAAGGGGCATCTAAATATAAACCATAACAACTGTTAAGGCCTTAATAGCTGTAAACCCATTACCTGGATATGTACCCTGTAGTAGCAGACCTTAGATAGCAAAATCTTAGGTTGGGTCCTTTGGTCTGAGCTTGAGAGTAGTTTGTTTTTTGGAGGGATCCTTTTGAGACAGGGTCTCGCTATGTGGTTCAGGCTTCCCTTGAGCTCACTTTGTAGCCCAGGCTGGCCTCTAACTCACAACGACTCTCCTGCCTCAGCCTCCAGAGTGCTGGGATTACAGGCATGTGCTACCATGCCCAGCAAGATTATGGAGGCATCTGGGGAGACAATAGGGACTAGAATTAGTCTATTGGCTATTAGTTTGTGACTTGATCAGTTAATTCCAGAGTCAAGACTTGCCTGTTCATTGGTGAACTGAGGCATCTTAGATCCAAGGGCTGTGAGACTGAAGGGATGGTGGAGGCAGATGGAGAACACTACGAAGCAGTGCTGAGCAGGATTTAATATTAACCAATGGGCTTTTCATGTTTACTTGTGAGTTGTCCAAGGCCTAGACCCCTTGTCTGGAGATGAGCGGTGGACTTATAGTAAGTAAACCACTAGTCCCAACTGACTGAGGTCTGTAGTGGCCAGTGAAGCAAAGGACAAGACAAGGTCACAGCTAAGGATACCTGGCTCCAGCCTCAATTAACTAGATAAAGACTATAGCTGCAGGTATCTCACTCCTGGGTGGAGACCTTCCCGGAGATAACATAGTTCTCCTAACTTAACACGTCTTACTTAGAGAAGCCCTTGAGCGATTCCCAACTTTCTTCAGTATTCACCTCCCTTGTTTTGAAAACTAAATAAACAGGGGCTGCCCAGAGAAGATCTTTGTCTTAGCCCCCAGAGAATCTCAGATTTTGTCTCCTGGAGTCCTAAAATCATACCGCTGGATTCATTTATTTAAGCCTTCACCATCCCTTCATTTGGGAGATTATGGGCCTGATCAGTCCAACTAAGGAATAATAATATTAAGGTGATAGGAGGCCATTAGTTCAATCCTAAATCTTCCCAGGACTGAATTTGAATAGTCTGCCTCTCCTTAGTGGAATGGTCTCTGGAAATGGTCCCCACCTATTTGAGAATTGATTTCCTCATCTGCACAACAGAACCTGTTACAGTGCCAGCCTCTTAGGATTCCTGTGAAATGAGGTAAAGCAAGTTCAGTTGTAAGCACAGTATTTGACCATGTAAGTGTTAGCAGTTATCCTCATTCTGACCCAAACAATGCTCTCCAGTTTGAACATAGGGTAAGACCAAGCTCCAAGAAAATTTATGTAAAATCCAGTTTAGCGGAAGTTACATTTTTTTGGCATTTAGGGAATATGAGTATTCTGTTTATTCACTCACTAGTGGCATGATTGCTTAAAGAGTAGACAAAATTGACTGCCACATCAGTGACACATGCAGTGAAGACAGCAGCTGGCTGGTCATCAGAGTATTTCCTGTACACACTGCCATTACCTATGTGGCTGGGTCAGACCAGGGAGTCCCATGCAGTCTGGTCACCTACCTGTATAAGCTTAAGTGGTCAGACACACAGGGACAAAATGACACCAGACTTCCATTTTCCCCAAAACATGCATAATTTCAACTGTCATTGAAATCTGTTTCAAGTGGATATGAGGAATAAGGATATTTGTGGCCTTGTGAATCATAGACTCCAGAAGAGCGAGGCAGACTTCAGGCCTAGTTGAATTAGCAACTCAGTTTTGAGTGTGTGCTGAATTCTTTCTAGCTTTCCACTCAGCTCTTAATACTACTGTTGACTTCTTGTTCCTTTAGTGGTAAAGATAACTACCAGTGGCAACAGGAACCACATCCACTGTGTGAGAGAAGTGACTTGCAGGGTTTGTTTTTTTTCCCCTCTCTCTTAACCTCCAGCAACCAAGCCACCACCCGCTTGGTTACTTTGGCTAGAGTAGTCACTGGCCTAAATATAATCCAGCAAAGAATATGACATTACCAATAATTGCATCCACACGCTGCTGAGCAATGGCCGAGTGTTTTTTCCCAAACACAAAGATTTTCCTAGATGGGAATCAGGTACAGGAGGTGTGGGGCTGCCTACACAAAGTCCACTAGAGTCCCTCTAGAAATTTATGACAAAATGGAACAGCAAAATTCACATTTCTAATGTGATTTTTAGATAAAAATATTGTCTTGTTTAGGTAGACAAAGTAATAGCTTTCACTGACAGTGTTCCTTCAACTCAGCTTTTGAAAAGGGAACTTCATATAGAGAGGCTTCAAGCCCATTTTGCCTTAGAGACTGAAATGAGAAACAATAGCCTGAATATGTTCCTTACAAATGAATGAACAGACTTGGTACATTCACTCAAACTAGCCCCCCCCCCCTCTAGTCTTTGTCTCCACAGAAATGTCAGATTTGGAAGCAGAGATAGTTTCTTTTCCTCCCACAAACTAGCCTAAGATTTGGTATTTGTTCTTTAAAAATATTTTAACATTTCTATCTTGTTTTCAAAGTTAAAGACCTACCTTTCAATGCAGCTATTTCTCTCTGAAACTCCTCCTTGTGACATATTGTTGGCAGGAGTTAGGTCAGAAGTTAGAATTTACAGGAAAAAGGTTTCAGAACAAAAGCCACGCCCTGCCCAAAGAAAAACAATTCCTTCCCACTGCTCACTTGTAATTAAACAACCGCAAAACTGAAACTAAAGAATTTCAAATCACGAGGAACATATTTTAAACTTCACTTATTAATATATATTAGATGTGAAGAAAACGTAATGAAGGCTTCATCTTACATATACAAGGGGAATGGACCTTATGAATCCTAGCACGTCGATGATTTTGAAAGTTTGAAACTCCCCACTTACCCTATTTTCAGCAAGATTACGTTTGAATAATTGCAATTGAGACTGAGATTACACTACTTTTAAATACTGTTCAAATGATCCTGTATAAGCCACCATGTATTATTTCCTATTACACATTCTTCAGTCTAAGAGAACTTTTTTCAAACTAAAGAGAAAGAAACAGTACAAAAATTTTTTCTGAGGCTCTTTTATGTGGACCAGGGCAAAGTGCTGACTTTTTCAAAGGATTCAAAAATAAGTAAGATTCTGCCCCTGCCCTCAGGAGACTTTAATCTAGAGGGCTAAAAGTGGAGAGTGTCACTGGGTGCTTTGTCCTGCCCAGATCCACTCCTCCTCCTCCCTGGGTTCCTTGGGGAGAACACCTACCTTCCCTCTTGGTCTGTGTGGTCAAATGGGCTGGCCTTAACAGCTCACCTCCTCTGCAGGTGGACTCCTTCAGTGTCATCTGTCCTGCTTTGTCTTAAACATGGTTTTTTTTAATGTCAAAACAGAAAAGTCACCAGCACATTGGAGCGAGCTGGTCACTCTAATTTAAGACTCTGCTCTTTTGGGTGCTGAGACCCACATTCTAGCCATACAGCTTATTAAGACCATGGTGTGGCTCTTACCTTGTACCCAAGATTTCCCATTAATTTCATATTGGCTTTGAGCTGTGCGGGATGGCTGTTTCAGGCTAACTTCTGCCTGAACATAGCTGTCCTTTGTTTTATGCCAGGAGCTAAACTGGCTGGGCCAGCCTAGACGGACCTCTCAGGAACGTAACCTGCCTCAGTTAAGCTGAGGACCAGGTTAGTTATGCAACTGGCCTTGTTAGACATGTGTAGTCTGCTCCAGGTACCAGAGCATTAGGTATTGCAATCCTTTCTAACATCTAATTAAAATAAAAGATACGTGTTTTCCATGGCACCATTTCCTAGAGATAAACAGAAGGCTGTACAAAAGGGATTAGCAGTACCTTCATGGGGTTATGCTTCCTGGAGGTAAAAACATACCCCCAAAATGGGGCATTTTAATAAGTGGAACTCTTCACAGAAGACGATGGCTAGAAAATCACAGGGCTGGAGGGCAGCAGAGCGCTCAGAGCAGTTGATTCATGCATCTTATGCGGGCCTGGGCCACACTCTAACAGACTCTGCAGACTCAGAACCAGTCAGAGGACACGAAATTCTGTAAAATATTTGGTTAGAAGAGAAGTCAGAATCTGTGTTCTGCCCCCAAGGAAAGGATTCAGGGAAAAAGAGATGGATTTCTGGCCCCTTTTCCAGGAGCCTGTGGATTCTGACCTCACCGTTGCTGTTTGGGGGGACAGTGGAATCCTTAGCAACTCTGTCCTTGCCGCTGAGCTCAGGTCCCCAAATCACACCAGGATCACGGTCTCCAACCCCTCCCTGCTTTCTAACCTCAGGCTTTGATGTTCTTCCAGGTCACCTGCTGTGGTTCAGCTTCTTGGAATCACCACACTACTCACCAGAACCAGTATCCCCTCACTGTCCCCTCCTGTCCCTCTGACACAGATCTCGGGCATTCTCCTCTCATCGTGCCAGCTCGCTGCCATCCCTGGATTTTCACCAGTGTCACCTACAGGTTTGCAAAAACTCCGGTGACTCCTCAACCTCGTATTGCTCTCCCACATTTTCCTGACATCCAGCATCCTTCCTCTGAGATTCCCAGGGAGCACCCACACCCATTTGGAGCCCTCAGGGAGTCCCAGAGGTTTGCATGGAAGCTCTCCTGTACTCTTCTTCAAGGGCTGCCATAGCAGAGCCCCATGACCTGGGTGGTTCTAAACACAGAAACTTATTTTCTCTTCTGAGGGCCTTGCTGCTTGGCTTGCACATGTCACCTGCTCCTTGTATCTGCCCCAGTCTTCCCTCTGTGAGTGCTTGTGCTCTACTCTCTTTATAAAAACAGCAGTCATGTTACACAAGGCCCTGCTCATATGACCTGGTTGTGATTTAAAGGCCTCCTGAATGACCCTATCTGCAGTGCAGTCACACTCTGAGAAACCGAGGCTTAGGACTTCTATGTAAGAATTGGAGATGTAACGAGTGACACCAGCAATTCAGACGGTTGGCTTGTCCTCTTGTCAGAAAGGTCCACCCACTTGCAGATGCGACCCCTGCCGCCCAGGTCCTGTGCTTGACAGCCAGTGTCCATGCATGGGTTACAAGCTTGCTGTGAAATCCACCCGCCTTGCCTGGTAACCAACCTTTGTGCTAGAGACATCCCTGGATGCCTAACTCCACAGCCTATCTTCCGGCTTGGCCATCTTGCAATGCGGATAACTTGATTTGCTTCTTAACTCCTCAAGGAGTGCCTCTTCTCCTTCCCCGACCCTGGCTGCCACCTCCCCAGCCCTTTGCTTTCTTCCCTGCTCCCCCTTGTCTGGGCAAAGCTCTCAGGAGTCACATCCCAGGGTTCAGCTGTGCACATGGTCTCGCATCGCCTGCTCATCATCATCTGACCCGAATCTTTTTCAGGCCTTTGCTCCCCCAAGACACCGCCCCACACATCCTGTTTGGCAGACTGGCCTCCTCCTTATTATTTCTCCTTATGTCTCAAAGTCATGAAGCTCATTCCTGCTTCAGAGTCTGCACCTAACCTGGCTGTACCCGGAATCGTTCTCCATGCAGAGCTCCAAAGGCTCACTGTCCGTACTCATGGGATCTCTGCTAAACAGAAATGGCTTTGGGGGGGTGGGGTGGGGAATAAACTCATACAAACATCAAATAACTTCAAATTAATAACTTCAAATTTGAGAAAGCTGTGATTTTGCAAAAATGAAATTATAGGGACTAAAGGTACTCTAATTAATTTTGTTTTTTTAAGGAAGAACTCCATTTAGGGTACCTTCTATAGATGGTCCACTCTTCTGTTTAATCGTATTAATTATGAGTTCTGCCAAAAGTAGTCATGCAGCTAGGCAATGAGTTCATCCCTTCAAGATTCTATTGTTTCCCCTGTTGAATGGGAACTTTGCTGTACCATCCTCATCAAGCTGTGTGACACACAGGACTTGCTCAAAGGACAGAACCCTTGGAGAAAACACTGAGCAAGCTGGAGGAGTGGAACATGCCCTAGCTGGTCAGGGTATTCTGTGCCTCTTAGAACCACGGCATCACTGTGCAGGTCATTATGACAGCTTTGCTGGAATCTCTTTCAAAGTCCAACTCTGCTTTCCTCTATTCCCTTATTTTTAGTTTGTGTCTCCTACCTTCCCTCTGGAAGAAGGCGAAATTTCACATAAATATACTTGAAAACATCACTCACTCTGTGAACTTGGGTCATGCTTTTAAACATTAATTTAGAAATTCAATGACACTTCAGGATGTATTTTATGAACCTTTTCTTTGCAGCCACTAGTTTGAGGATGGCTGGAGTCAGTTTGCAAATAAAGAATGCAAATAAAGAAGTGGAACACATTAAAATACCCCTCAACAGGGGGATGTGGTGGCACATGCCTGTAATCCCAGCACTTGGGAGGCTGAGGTAGGAGGACTGTTGTGAGTTTGAGACCAGCCTTGGCTACAAAGTGAGCTCAAATCCAGCCTGAACTGCATAGCAAGACCCTGTCTCAAAAAAAAAAAAAGACAAATAAAAAAAAAATACCCCTGGATGTGGGTTCATTCTCTGTTGCCTCACCCTCCACACCCCTCCCACCTCCAGACACTTCTTTTTTTCTTTCTGATTTCTTAATATGTCCAAAATGCACTTGGAAAGAACCTAAAAATCCTTCTTCCTTAAGAATGGTGCAATGTATGCAATGATTATTTCTGAGGACATGTAAGGTCCTGAATGACTAAAGAAAGTGAAAGCCAAAAAAGGACCTCAAAGGTGATGGACTTGGACTCTGCACTTTAGATGTAAGAAGCTTTAATCACCTGCTTTATTCTAAATAGCAAATTTGAGCACCTATTCCTTCCCTGAGGGAGTTATAGAGCCGACAGATTATTCTGGGTTCCTTGAAAGGCTTTCTGAGCATGTGTGTACCTCCTTCTTGAGACACTTTCGGGTGGTGGTGCCATCCTGGAGCCAGGTACCTTTCCCTGAGAGGTTCAAATTCATTTAGTGGGAAGCCACAGGCTCCTCATTGACCCTGGGTCAATTAGTTGAGCACAGGGATTTCTGTCTTCTGTAAGATGCATTTTCATTTCTGAAATGGTGGGTGGGGGGGGACATGTAGAAGGTCTCCATCCAAACGATTCCTTCTATTCATTACAGGGGACCCACTGTGCACATAGTAACTTTGCTAATGCAGGTCAGAGGCCTGGCACAGCCTGCACCCTGGGGTATCATGTAATCTGTGTGTCCATTAACCAGCAAGGAGGCTCTCACCAAATACACGCCTACATGGTGTGGTCAGATGCAGCGTCTTGATTAAGTGGACAAACAGGCTGTTTCCTGCTCTTTGTAACACTGCAGAGTGGCTTGGCTAAAAATGAAAATAAATGGCTTCTCCTGCTTCCGTAGCAGAGGAAAACAGACTCACCAGCTGCAGGAGCTGGAAAGTACCTTAGAGAGTGTGGCGTCCGCTGCCCTCAAGGCAGGGAGGCCGAGGACACCCGCTCAGGGCCACAGCTATGACAGACCTGGGGCTGCTCCCAGCCCTGAGCCTATCTCTCCTCCCTTCCTTCCTTGTGTCTTCCTCTGCCTTTCAGGCAATAGTTCAATGTTCTGTGGCGTGTGAGCAACATCTAAGGGTGAGGGCCAGAGGGCAGACTTTAGGGGGTCCT